TATTTATATATATATTTTTTTTTTTTTTTGTTTGCTAGAGAAAAGGATATTAGAAAAAACCATTAAATTAAAACAATGAATTAGAATATTATCATCTTCAATTTTACTGCATTGGTTTGCATCAAATGTTGGATAGTTTTGAACTTTGAATCATTCTCAACAAAAAAAAGTAGAACCTTCTTGTAATATATATGTAAATTTTGATATTAATGACTTATTCACAGATGCATAGATTTTTTCATACTATAAATTATCAAAGAATCATTTATTAAATAATTTAGAAATTATTCCAATTGTTAGTACTGTTAGAGTCATCGTGATTAAGGTATTATTCGTTTTGGTGCTTATTAGGCTAGTATAGTTGTCCTTGAAAAGGCGCCTTAGTGATTAAAAAAATAAGATATTTATAAATTATCCTTAACTTCAATTCTTAAGCGATGTGAGACCTTTAAGCATATCAGAATAAACCTCTAGTTAAGGCTAAGGGGTAAGAGCAACTTGGGCTCTTATTATAGCGCTAAAATGTTTCAGTATGAGGGATTATCGTCGGAGAATCTTTAACGATATAAGTACTAAAAGAACCTAGCAATTATCCCGCCCTAGAACATTTGATGGGTATAATCCCTTTCCTCTAAACCTAATTATGCTTATATATAATGGTGTGGCGTTATAGACCTAAATCTCGTACTTCCTTCTATGATTCCTCATATGCACTATATTGTCATTGTCATTAATAGGTTTGCGATCCTAACATTTATGGTCATTATCATGTCTATTCTAAGGATCATGAGATTTAACTATCAATTGTTCATTTGAGGAGGTAGATTGTCCAACATTTGAGCGTCCTCACAAGCTTGGAAATTCTTTCGGCTTAAAGGAGACCACCTCTACATGTCTCTCCTTCGCTAACCCCAATATTCAGAATTATGTCACTTAAAGGTAGAATATGGTTAAATGTCTTATGATTGGGGTCCTATGTATTTGTTTAGGAAGTCTCTTAATTAATGGGAGATCATCACGGTACAAAGTCCTCTAAACTAGAATACTAAGATGCGAAGAGACTTCATTCTCCTTAAGTCAATCTTTGGATGATGAAGTTGCTCGACCAATGGGAGATTACCTTGGTTCAAAAACATAAATAAATCAAGTTCTTAAAAAATAAGAAAATAGTAAACAAACCTAATCATCAAGCAATAAAATCTCTAAGTTGTTAATTTGGTTTAGATTTTTGAATTTGGGTGATGACCACAACTAAATAACATGTTCCTTCAATTTCCACTCAATTTTTGTAGATACAATATTACATATTAGAGATATAGAAGACACCATATGGACAAAGAAGATAGCGAAGTTAGGTGAAAAGGAAAATGAATTAGGAGGATGAATTACAATTCTTTACAAGTTTTGTGTGAAAAAAAAAACACAACATACATGAATTTATAATTTTTACAATTAAATAGTTTGAATTTATAATTAGTTGTGATTAATTTAACACAAGCCTAAATTTTTGTGAATTAATTTAATATGACGATTATTCGATAAACTTTTAAAATGAATGCAACAATTAATATGAGAAAATCATTGTGGGACTTGACAATTACGATTTTCTCCTTCAATAGATTCTAATATATAATAATTTACTCATTTTTTAAATTTTTCGTTTAAAAAATTTCATTAACTTCCATAACAAAAAAATTATCACCAAAACACCCTTTACACTAACATCCTTTCAGAGATGTAAATATTACACCACCCTTATTTCTTATAAACATTTTTTCCTTAAAAAGTTTAAACATGCTACACTTTAATAATATATCTCTTAATTTACATATTTAATTATTATTTTAAAAATTATTGCAAATTTTACTAAAATTAACTATATATATATATATAAATCTTAAAAAAATTTCATTATTATCTTTACAAAATATTTTTAAAGTTACATATCAAAATAAAAATAATATATAAATATATAGTAAAATCAAATACAAGTGTTAAGATATTAGTTAATCTAGTTAATTTAATATTTTTGTAAAAAGTTAAATAAAATAATATTTTCATTATATAGTATTAATTATATCTGTGTGTGTAATGTATATGAAATATATAATTTTTTAATAAACATATTTATATTAAAGATATATTATTAAAAAAAATGTAATTATTATAAAATTTAATATATATGTGTGTGTTAATTTATATATATATATA